TAGTCAAATATTTCCCTTCTTTCACCTTTCCCACATTCTGAGCTGGCTATCCTACATTGTCACTCCATAACTTCCTAAATCCTTTACTTACACTCATTCCTAACTCTGTCACAATAGTAAAATAGAATATATATATTCTGACTTCCCTGCTGAAAGACTGGTCCTGCTTACCTCTCTAGCTGTGCGACCTTGGGTAAGTCCCTTCCCCCTTCTCCACTTTTCTCCTATCTCTGAAATGAGGCAGGTAGATAAAGTATACTCTGAAGTCTCATATTCCTCTTGCATTCTGAGGCTGTAAACCATCAATCTGCTCCCTACTGGGCTGAAATGTCTTGCTTTCTCCAGACTGCAAAAGTACTTCCTTTTCCCCATAGAAAGGCATCGTGAATGTTGAAAAGAGAAAAGTCAGTTAGTGCTTCCGAATGACCCAGCTCCTGGCTCTGGGCTATGGTGATTCAGGACTACAGCAGAGCTCTGAGCAAGCTCATGATCAAGCTTAATGTTCCCCCTCACCTTCTGGAAAGCATTCTACCCTAGTCAAGCAGAAGATAGCGATCAACAATGATAACAGCATCTTCCATAAACACAGATGCCACAGAGTGATTCATAAGGCTCAGTGACAAAAAGCTGAAGTCTTGGGTTTCATTTCCTTTCTTATCATGTTGCTTTGGCAGCAGCAACAAAACAAACAAACAAGCAAACACCCCCCCCCCGCAAATCCCCAAATTCCACCCAGTTTGATCCAGTCAATGCTGCAGCCCCAGTGGTACCATTAATAAGAATTCTCTAAGCCTCAGGAGGAAGTTCCTTAGAAACAGCCAGAAATATTAACATCAGCTTAAATGATCCTAGGAAAGAAAGTTCAGAATATGTCAATCTAATATTCAAAACTGATAATAGGAGGGAGAACATGTTACAGACTATAGTGAGGGAAAAAAACGAATCCAAATGAAGCTAAAGACAGAGAAGGAAAAAGGGCAATAAGGTTTGGGGGAGAATCAGGTGAACCAATTTGGAGGCAAACAATCCCACATGTAAGTGGTCTGACCAGAATGTGGTTCTCTACAGTCTTAAAATTAACCTTTGGAAAGTTGTGAAGAAAGCTCATTTTGGGCTTAGTAGGAAATAAGTCACCAATGTCTAAAATGTGTGCCTTGGCACTTGCTGACAAACAGAATTTTGGTGAAGGCTTTGTGTGGGATGGGAAATGTCTTGATTAAAAGGAAACCTAGGGACAAAAATACATTTCTCAAGTGAATGTTTTCGAATTGGAATTTTTGTGAAGTGGGATTGCTGGGCTTTGAGGCTGTGAATCATAGGTTTGGTTGCAGGAGAGAAGCTAGCCATGGCCCTATATAGGGACATGGCATATGTGGACTGTATTGCCTTCAGCCAGAAGCAAGGAGATGAAGGAAGTTAAGAGACATGCTAAACCTAAGGGGTCATGGGAATTGAAGGCCAACATGTATACATCAATCTTAAGGACCTTAAATAGAATCTTAGAAGTGGAAGAGATTGAGTAGCGGATATTTCAGCACATAAATCACACTAGCTAGGAAGTATAGTATACCTGTTAGGGTATTGATTTGCTTACTTTACAACTACCAAAAATAACTAACTTAAACAAGATAGCAGGCATACGTCCTGGAAGCCTAAGGCAACTCTGTTCCATGAGATCATTCAGAGACCTAAGTTCCTTTCTCACAAAGCTGTACCATCCTTTGAATGTTTCCTTCATCCTCCTGATTGAAGAATACTGATTGTCACCATGCCCATGTTCTGCCTATGGGAAAGGGAGAGAAAGAGGAAAGTAGAGGGTACATGCCCCTTTCCCAGGGCATGACTCAGAAGTCACACATATCACTTTGCTTTACATCTCATCAGCCAGAACTTTGTCTCATGGCCTCACCTAGCTGCAAGGGAAGCTGAAAAATGTAGTCTTCTTTTTCTAAGTGGCTGGATGCCCAGTTAAGAGAAGGGGATATAGATACCAGGGCAGTTAGCAGTCTGCCACACACAGACGCAGTTCTACCTGGGATGTTTACCATGCGGCTTTGGAAACCTGCAGACTAATATCACTTCCATGGGAGTGGGATGAACCCATTTTGTTTCTCTGTTGCAGATTAACCCAAATGGTCCAGCCTGGTGCTGGTGGACATTAGCAGTTCTCCCACTGGAAAGCCGAGCTCAGCTTCCGTTCCTAGCAATGAAGTCCTTAAAGGATAGACTGAACGGTATTCGGCGTGTCCTGGCCTTTATATCCCGAAACCAAAACTAGTGAGAATGGATTGCTGAAGAGGAGCTGCCACCCTCCCCACTGCCTAGGGAAGTCATCTTGTAAATATATCTAGATGCAATAACATCTTAACAGAAGGCAAGGGTCAAACAGAGGCATTACCCTGCTGTTGACCACAGAGATAAATTGAGTAGAAAGACCAAAAAAAAAAATGACCTGTTTGAAACTTTCTTTCTTAAGATGCTTCTTGACATGCTGCACAACTACATGCACAGCAGAGATATTCAAGAGCCCGGAAAATTTTTTTTTTTTTTGATTCGACATAAAATTTTCTGAAAGTTTAAAGTGATTTTGCTTTAATTTTCTTTCTTTCATTGATGAATGACTGTATGGTTGAAATCTGAGGCAAAGATACTAATAATGTTGCTGCATTATTTCACTGACTTGAGGTCTCCTCATTCCAAATGGTTCAGGTTTTATATAGCATTGTGTAAAATAATGTTCAAACTTCTTTGTTTTAATTTATTTTTTCACTACTGTATCCTTTTTTATACATGTATGTTTGTAACTATTTAAGCGTACATTACTAAAAAGTCAATTGCTTTATTTATTGATGTAGTTTACCATGTACCTAGGGGGAAGTAACAGTACTAGAAATGTGTCATTTTTGCTTTAACCTTTTGTTCGATCTCAGTTCTTGAACCATTTTTGTGTCTATCCAGTTGGATACCTAAAGGAAGTTCAGAATCATGCTAAGGTCATCTATAGTCACAGATTCCATTGTGTTTTCAGTTTGAATTCAACAATATAAAATACATAGGGGATTTGGCATAGATTATGGAATAAGCCAGAGTAAAGTAAAATAACCCATTTTCTATGTGTTATACAGAATAAGGCTGAAGGAATTTTTCTGGAATTAATTGATGAATCAGAGGAGTGTCCTTTATTACAATCTATTATAGGCATTCATTTCAGCAATCTAATTCTAAGTGTTTCTAATTTCTCCACTGTGCAGTTAAGAATGGGATTTTTAGGCAGAATAATATTTATCCCTTCAGAGGAAAGAGTTTTCAGTTTGGCACATCAAAGCTGGGCCCAGCTAGCTTCCACTTCTCAGGGTTCTGAGGATCACAGCCTGGCCAGCATGTATGGAAACACTTGCTGAAGGACTGTTTGTTACGAAAAGTATAAAGAAGCCAGTAGAAAAGGTAGGATGCTTAAAAAAAAACTATCTTTTTGATTTTTAAATACTTTTAAAGGAAACAGCAAATTAATCCATGATATTATCTAAACACTGCCTGTCCTCCAAGCTACAATGGGCCAAAGATTTCAGTATAGGGGAAGAATGGTGGATAAACAGGTAAGAATAAGCCCTGGTTTAGCTTGCTTAGGACAAGTGTGATTCTTTTAGTGCCAGGTGAACCTGAAAAATAGCATGAGTATGAGAGTGTTATAATGAATGACAGAGTGAAAAGATTAGGGCAGGGAAGAAGTGAATTGTGCCATTTGTACCATTACTCAAATGACCCCACCCCCTGTGATTCTGGACAGTGTTATTCACTCACAGCCTGACCACTCTGTCAAGGTGAGAGGTTAATGCCTCAAGTAATCAGTCTGGCTTTTTCCATCACCACCTGTGGCCAGAAACAGAAAAGGCAAAATGAGATGATCCGTGCAACATAAGAGAGCTTAAGGTAAGCAGAAACCAAATGATCTTTTCTGCACTTTCTTAATGGATGCTATGTTGTCAAAGCATTATGTCACCAGGTTTGATGTTTGGAGCCAGACTGGATTGGAAGGATAGGCATGGTAAATGCCCAAGCAAATTCTACAAGACACAGAGAGCAGTAAATTACAGTCTCCTCCTCAGATTTAGTGCCCAACTATTTGGTCATAACACAGTCATAGTACAATAGTTTCCCATTATCTAGTATAAATGCAACGCAAAAAAGGGTGATAAGTGTCTCCACTTGCTAGGTGTGTTACCTTTGTGATTTAACTTTTTCTGAGCCCCAGTTTCTTCATCTAGCAAATGGTAATGATAATTACCACACATAGGGTTATTATGAACATTAAATGAGATAGTATATGTAAATCACTTAGCACAATACCTAGCATATAGGAGACATTTGACAAATCATAGTTGTAATTAGATTATTCATAGTTATGGAATATCACCAGGGGCCTACATTTGGATAACATGCTGCTTTTACACACAATACCCATTTCCAACCCCTTTAAACTTGGTTGGGGGAATCCACACCACTGAATTTCAAACCATAAGTTGATGCTTTACGATGATTCCTTTTGGAGTCAAGTCTGTTTGGAAAAGTGGAAAGACTGAAAAACAAATGAAGTTCAGAAATAAGGGAGAATTCTGTGCCAGCAATTTTTTCTTATTTTAATAGGCCTAAAAAGTAGTATTGTTTGGAGGTCTAGAATTTCCAATATAATGGAAGCCTTAAGTTCTGGTTCCCTTAGAATAACCAACTCATCACTCCCTGCTCTTCAAAATGTATTGAAAATCTTGGCCATGCCAGGGTGAACAAATTTTACGATCTACGATGTTTGTGCTTGGTTCATGGTATTTCTTTATGCCGCCCTAACAAAAATGTATTGCAAACCTACTACATACCAGATACTGAGCCAGGTGATTTAATGATCTCATTAAATCATTTATTTGTCACATCAATCCTGTAAGATCACTTATTATCCCCATATTATGGACGAGAAAGCTGAGGCTCTGCAATGTTAAATACTTTGCCTAAGTAACACAATCAGCCAGTAAATAGCCAAGCTTGATTTTGAACCCATTACCTTGCAGATTTTAGTTTGTGTTATACATAATTTTGTTAAATAGGCATGACAACCAAGTCACAAAAGCACCCCAAAAGCTCACAATGGGAAGGTGTAGGTTAAGTAAATTTAAATTACCCAACACATCACCACTTAATCTAGATTAAAAAAATAAGTTTAATTAAAAAAATAAAATAAAATTACACATCATAGAATGCTTCATGTTGATAAGTGAGTACATAACTCCAGCAAATGTGGATCCTTGGAGACACAGAATTGCACTTTACTCTCAGTAGCCTAGATACACATTTGGGTGGTATTATAGCAAGCTTTGGTTTCTGTTGTGGTGGGAGGCAGAAGGCAAGGCTAAGCTTTAGTTTTCTTTGGAATGCACTTAAATGGGGTCATCAGTTAGACATGACCATTTTTAATACTTGTAAATTGATTTTGCAGCAAAGCTTGGGAATGAAGAGTATACAGAGAGAAGATATAAAGCCAGAAGGACAAGACTTCCCCTTGGTAGATAGTGCCATTTATTTGGTTAGTTTTCCTGTCTTATCAGGACCCAGTCTTCTCTTAGTAGATTATTTTCTCTCTGTGTGTATGTGTATGTATGTACATATATGTGTGTATATGCATTAGGTACCAAGCAGACATTATGCCTTTCTGCTTTTTACTGTACTACTACTGCTAGCTAACAACCAGCAAAATGTGGAAAATGAAAAATGATGAAACTAATTTTCCATAGACACTTGGAGAAAAGAGTGCTTTCCCCTGACTTAGGGGAACAGGGAACTGACTATTTCAACAATTTTCCTTTTCTGGAGGCTGACTGCTTCTAGTCGCACAGGTTTAGTTGAGTCACTGTGCATGTGGCACTTCCAGCTCTGCCTATGGAGCTTGCCTGGGCTCAGATTATCCCCTGTAACTGGCCATTAGAGCAGTAGAGCTCCTGAGATTAGTTCACAGCTCCCAGAAGTTTCTTACTGTCAACAGATTTCATGCTGTTGAACTGGACTTCATTGAGGACTGTGTTCCCCCATGCCTACTCCATTTCCAAGATGGAATTTTATTCAGGAACTCATTCCTTGAGTTTTCAACCTGTTGACTTTTCATCCATTTACATTTACCAAGGCAGAATCATAGCAGAGGTGTGAAAGACACAAATGGAAGACAGCCCAAATAATGGAAAGAACAGATTTTAGGCTTGTGGATAGAGGTTTCGATTTATAATTTAAGACAGTTCTGAAAAGCAGCTGGCTGCATGGGCTGCAATTTGTGGCATTTCCTGAGTGCAGAGAGAAGGAAGGAAAAGGAGCCATGTAAAATGAATGTATTCAATTCCTCTTAGAATGATAACTCCCACTGTTCAACTATTTAATAATCTGGGTTATGCATATCCAGAGGTGAAATGAAGACATTTTGACTTACAAATGGATATTTTCCAACACACTAAGTTAACCTTGAGAGAGAAGTGCCTGTAATTTCTGTTCTTGGTGTCATTTTAAAAGTTTTGCTTTATGATTCTGTAGATGTTTAAAGATTTGTTGCAAAAAATGTGATTAACAGAAGTTTACAAAACAACATTGTAGCTAATGCATCATTTAAATAAGTTGCTTAACATCTATTGTCACAGCAATATCAATAAAGAACAAAATAAAAGGAGAAAATAAAATAGGTTTATTTTAGATAAACTAGTTCCATCATTTTATGTAGTTCTCAGTAATGCTAGTAGTAAAATATCAAGCAAGCCATTTAAACAGCAGCAAACATGTCTGTGTTTGTTATTCCAGTTGTTTTCTGAGCAGTCATTTTACTCCAGCACTGTAATGAACTGAAAGGGGAAATAAGATAATGTTTTTTCTTCCCCACATTGCTATTCAACTACCTCTATATGCTTGATTTCTCTTTAGGATTTTCTTTCCTCCAAATATGTACAAAAAAGGTTTCAGCTCATCTATGTTGTAATAATAATGTGATATAGACAGTCTCTGTGAAAGCTGTTTGTTCATTAAAAAATGTTTCCTATCCTTTCACTTTGTATGTTGCACAGCAATACCTTTACCTTAGGACAAGAATTACCCATATACCTTCATTTTGTTGGAAGTATCATTTTGTTGGAAGCCGAACAGAAAGGAAAGCTATCAGAACATCTAGTTTGTTCTTATTACTATTAGTTACAAGACACTCGACCAGAAGATCTTTCAAGGATCTTCTGTACCTACCTATACTCAAATAAGCTCTTAGTATGTGTCAGTGAGGCAGGTGTTAACTGATTAATGTGACTGATATGTTCTGAAAAGCTGGCCATAAATTAATTGTTAAAAAATGTGTCAGAAAAGTTTATTATTGAAAGAATTATGCTGAAGCATTTTGCCAATAATCTACCCCTAGTTTATTTGTAAATCCATTCATGTATTGGGCTTGCTTAAAGCAGAGCATACTACCTACTCTGTTTTCTTTGGCATTATAAAATATTCATGAAAGCAAATTACACATTTTTATTTCAATCAAGTCGTTTTTCAACAATAGGCTAAATCTAAGGCCCAAAATGTGAACCTTTTGCCAGGAAAGTTGGTAAAAGTGACTAGGACAATGAGCGATATTGACTGAGCTAACTCCAGCAAGAGAGCTTCAACATCTCATCTTCTTTACAGGATCGATTTTAGTCTTGTGCCACTTATGGCTTTATACAAGGTCTATTTTATCACTGAAGAAAAAAATGGGAGTAGGATAATTAAAACACAAAATAATAATTTTTAAAAAAAAGTCCACTTGGGCTGGACTTTGTTCTTTGTTACAGGATCTTTTGGGTAATTGAGAAAAACCAGAACTCCTGCCCAACTGGGCCCCAGAGCGAGTGCTTGGCTCTGTTGAACATTGCCCTTCTGTGTTCTGTCTGCCACATGCCAGCTCTCTTAAGATAGAGTACACTCTGGCTAAAGATTCAATCTTGCCTCCAAGGCGGCCACTCTTTCTGCCCCAAATGCCAGCATAACTCTAGAGAACTGGATTGGACTATCTAAAAAGAAGGTCTTGTTTGCAGTCGTCCCCTAGGACTTGAGCAAGGCCAAAGCCAATACTTCCTGCTTCCTCTCCCCTGAGATCCATCCTGGAAAATTTGAGTTCTCCAGGGTCAACGATGCCTCTCTAAAAGGAATTCCCAAGTCTCAAAATAAGGAGCAAGAGAAGAGTAGGAAGAATGACCATGACCCACAGGCTTTTAGATATTTCCCTTCCTCTCTTATGTTTGATTTCTTCACTCCCAAGAGGGGCTGAGATGGAATGCGAAGTGTCAATACTCCCCAATACTGGTTTCTTCCAGGTAATGCAAAAACTTCCCAGCCAGACTTGGCCCTGGGTAACCCAATGTAGAGGCATGCCCTGGTCAAGGAAGAAAGTGCAGGCTCCAAGGAGCCCTGCCTCTACATCTCTGAGCCCACTTCCCTCACCTTTTCCAGTTTTGCATTACTGGTTTTCCCATTGCAACCTATACTCATGTTGACTGGCCATCCATGTTTACTGTCCACTTATACACATGGATTAGCAAATGTCATTGTTGTGTTAGAAAGCCCCTCCAAAAAACCTCTTCTCCACTTACTGAAGTGCTGCCTTCCAAACCTGTCAGCAGGACGCTGCTTACCTTCCAGTAAGTCAATATGAACAATTTCTGGATGCCGTAAGTACAACAAAATTAAGTCCTGAAATAGCCCATTTACCCTAAGTCCAGTTTCACTCTAAAAATCTTGTTTCTCTTGGATTTTAGAGGGGCATTATAAGAATATTTGACACAATGAACAGGGGAAATCACTGCCCCTTTGGTCCATAAGGATGTCTATTGCCATTCCTAGCATGCACCTGCATTCTCAGAACTACATGCTCCCCCTATAAGCCCAAATGAGCACTTTCATTAGAGGACTAGTGGTTAGGGCTGGGGGAGCATTTTGTCCACAAATGGAGTTAAGCCCTTCTGTTTAGGCAGTCTAAAGTAATGAGTTCTAGTTGAAGGACGGGAAAGAGGGAAGGGGGCAGGGAAGGATTGTGGGAAGGGATAATTATGACAAATGAAATGACAATATTTTTACCTCTTTCTGGGCTCAGAGCCTCATACCTCCTCTTTTCATAGTGACTGATTTTAATTTTCTATCCATGTTAGGATATACCGACATCAAGACTGCAATCATGTTTTCTGGAGATATGAGTCATGTGCTTATACTCTTAGGCAGCCAAAGGCCTGGCTAATGTCCACTGAGTGTTCACTACCTGCCAGGCTTTTCTAGTTTTTTTTTTTAACATTTAGTTTTGTATTAGCTTCTCACTATAATCTATGAAGTAGATCTCAATTCCCATGTTATAAGTAAGTAAACTGTAGCACAAGGTAATTATGTTACCTATGGTCATGCAGATTATAACCTGGGTAGTCTGATTCCAGGGCCCGCACTCTTAATAGATTTTATGAGGTATCTATCCTGCGGTGTCACAGACAAAGGAGAACAAGTCAGCCCATGGATTCCCAGTGGAGAACTTCCAGTAATGATGATGGCAAATAAGCAGCAAGAGCTGCTACCATTTACTAAATGTAAACTGCACGCTAGGCACTGCACTAAGCACGATCTCGTTCAGTCCTGAAGGAGGTGCTATTATTACTCAGCTTTGCAGGAGGATGCTGCGGCTCAGAAAAATATAACAACTTGTTGAAGTCCATGCAGGTAGGAAGCAGAGAGGCTGGGATTGGCATCCAGGCTGTCTGACTGCAGTCGTTATTATTACTCTGCAAGTTTGATGGCCTCTCATGAAGCCCAGCACTCTCCTCATTTATACAGCCTTGATTCCTGTGTCCTAGCATATTTTTTTCTAATTCTAGTCCCCCAAAGTCTTGCCTTTCTTCTGTCATTGGAGCCCTCCTTCATGTGGCCTCTCATCCTAATAACTACAAACTCAGGAGCTTCAAATTGTCAGCACAGCTTGCCCAGCTCACTCTTCCCCTGACCCACCTCTGTAGCTACTTTAAATATTCTTGCGTCACAGAAAATATATGAGTATGGATTTGAAGATTCAAAAGGTAAAACGTATAAGAACATTCGAATGCTTCAACTGTGTAGTTCTAGAGTCATATATCCCAGAGCTGGAAGAGGCCTTAAGAAATTATCTAGCCCAGCTTCCTGTTTTTAGCTGGTATTGTTCTCCCACTTTTTAGATAAAAGAACTATGGTCGTACAATAATGTTCAAGGCCATTCTATGAAGTAGTGACCAACATAGAGCCTAATATTTGATGCCCACCCTACATACTAGGGGAAGCTCATGGCTGCCCTTCTTCACGCCATGAATGTTCTCATGGGGGGCATCCTGGAAATGGAGATTTCATCGAAAAGAACAAAAAAATTTTTGAACAGCTGTAGCCCATTTGGAAAGGCCCTTTTGAGGATTATTCTCCCTCTCTGACTCCCCTTACCTTTTCTCTTTAGATTGTTTCTCTATTCAAGGAGATTTTCTCTCACACGACCCGCCGCCTGGGAGAAACTTCCAATTCCTTCCTCCTTGGAAGTTTGGGTTTGATTGGTCTGAGGCAGGCTGCTTTAGGCTGGGCAAGAGGAGTCCTTGAGAATCATGTCTGCCAGCTCAAACACCCCTCCACTCCCAATTGTTCAGCCTATCATTGAAGGAGTTGAGATCCACATCCCAGTGAGAAAGAAAATCAGATTTGAGGATCCTGATTCAGTACAGAAAGGCCATCAAAACATATTCAGTATTGCTTTTCAAAGGACAGATCATCAAAAGTTTTCTTATGTCCTCCCTCCCCAAAAATAAATATTTATCATCTTGTTTAGTAGGAAGACCAGAAGCAAGAGATTTCAGGGTTGGTTTATAGATCCAACGATCCCATCAGGCGTCTGGACTGTTTCCATCTTTCATGAATGTTTAATGAAACAGCTTCACAAAGAAAAGGAGGCTGTCAATCCAGTCCTTCTTGCTGAAAGCCAGATGCCTGAAGGGAAGGAGTTTGTTGACCACCAGCTCTACATGGCTATAAATCCATAGATGCAGGAATTTTTAAAGTGGTAAAGAGTTTTCCATGTAATAGGTTGTAACATCTTACTGGTTTTCTCATTAACTGATTGGAATAAAATCTTTGACATGGGTTCAATAGATAGATAGATAGATAGATAGATAGATAGATAGATAGATAGATAGATAGATAGATAGATAGAAAAAAGGATCTTCTAGTGTTCATGTCAACCTCAGATTCAGGTGGGAGGATGTTCGCCCTCGGTGTTTTCACCTACAGGAACTGCCAGGAAAATAGGGGGTCAGCTACAATGGTAATTCTTAGTCTAGGCCCTTCAAGGGCATTAACACCTCCAATTCATTCTTCAACTCACAGCCTAGGGAAGAAAACACAGAGCATCACAGAGCATGGTGGTATCTCAGAGTAAAGGCGCTTCATCTTGCTTGGGAAGGTGCTCAGGGAAAGCTTCTTGGAGGAGGTAATATAGGAGCTGAATCTTGAAGGGTAAGAAGAGTGGAGAGAGATTGAAGAACATGCCAGGCAGAGCCAACACATGAAAAAATCAAGTGGTCCATAGAGAGAGCCCTGGTTACTTGTAAGGAATATCGTGAGCAGTTCAGCCTGGCAGAGCACAGGGCTCAAGGCATGGCAGTTCCTGACAGGGAAGCAGGGCCAGTTTCTTACACTTTTGTTTTATGATGATTAAAAGCAACAGTTTGTCTCTGGACAGAACTGTGCAGAAGCCTGCTGCACAGTTCTGTCCAGAGATGGGGAGAGGGCTCGTGTATGAGAGCCCAGCTTGCTGGCCAAGTCAGAAGGTTCATTGCATAACTATGAGGAGAGTCCTCTTGCCATAGCCTAACTCCTGGTGCTAGGCTCAGTAGGCACCTTAAGGTTTGGACCAGAGGAAGAGAAGTGGGGATTGGTGGGATGGATGTGTTTGAAGTGTGAGTGGAGTGCACATAAATGGAGAGGTCAAGGGTGGAAGGGGGAAGGAAAGGAGCTGGCCTCTCTCCCCACGTCTCTCT